CGCCATACCGGTTGATGATGAGACTAGACCAGGAGACAGCATGGAAGGCGGGAAAAACTGGAATAGCAGAGAGATCAGAGGATTTTGAAAAGACAGGGAGATCCAGCCGCATGGATAGGGAAGAGGGGAAAGGGACGTAGGGCAGACAGAAAACAGATCAGGAGATCCAGCCGCATGGATGATGGAAGGGGATCCTCCTCATCGAGGGCAGGGAGATCAGAGAACTTTTGGAAAAGGCGGGGAGATCCAGCAACAAGGGTATAGAAAATGGGTCGTCGAGCAAGAGGACAGAAGATTCAGAATAGAGAAGGATGCAGCAGCGCTTGGATACGGGCAGGTTCACGAAGATGTTGAGAAAATGTCGATGCAACCCACCTCAGAACGCGTGTTCGCTGTAGTCAGTACGGTGTCGTCAACAGATATGTCAGCCGGATAGAGCAGAAGATGGTGTCTTGGCTTGGAAGAGATCTCTACTACTGCCCCATCGAAAATGACAAAGTGACGTGGAACCAGCGCACGAGGCCAGATCAGAATACTCGTAGGCAGGCTTAAAAACACTCCTGCATGGTCTTCAGATGAGAACGTACCCCTCCTGTCAGGCACTCCCTCATAGCAGGGGCAAACTGTGGTCCCACAGAACGAGGCATACTCAGATATCCCACGGACTGCCTACAGAGACCTATTAAAAACATGTTCGACCTTCAAGCCTTCAGAAAAAAATAATACCCATTTATCCCAACACCCTTCGTGGCCGGTTGAAAAATCGGTGAGTGCCTTAAGGAATAAACGTCTTGGAAAACCCTTCAGTCTGAGTTCTCGCGTTAATGCTAGTAGGCATGGACCCACTCCTCTGGAAACGGAGGAGTGGGTCCAAATCCTGTTGAGATGGCACTTAATCACACCTATCTTCTGAGTCTTGGGCCCGTATGACCAGAAGTCTTGCGTAGACTGGAAAGTGATAGCCCCCTTGTCCCAAATATCCTTATGGTTCTTCATTCTGGCCTCGCAGCGTACGGCCGGGGGGCAAGTTTCTGTGAGAATTCGACATCCCATAAATTCGAACTCTCTGATGCGATCAGTCCTCACCAATGTAAGATGATGGTTATAGATGGAGCTAAACTTTAAGAAGATTCCTCTAGCTTTATTTAGGTATGTATGAGACGATTTTGGGAGGAGGAGAAAAAGAGCCACATTGTCAACCAGTCGGAAACCATCGACTAAACGTATGTCCTTTTCCAGAGAGTTAGGAAAACAGACTTCTTTGTGGGCACACAGCAAACAAGCGAGAGAAGCGCTGAAGCTTTTCCCCATGGGAATGCTTACAATCTGCCGAATGATAAAGGAAGAGACTTTAGAGAAAGAGTTGTTGAGGTCAAAACGGAGGAAGTCAATTAGAACACATAATTTTATCCTCACCCAACCTTTCTCACCATTACCCTTTCCAAAGGCTATCCCTTTTTCGCGTCTGTTGACGCGCACCGCATTGTATCCCTTGACCATGAAGTAATCACATAACCACTCCACAGCCTGGATGATGTCGTCATGAGGTAGCTTAGTGAACATCGCTTTAATATCAAAGCAGGATGAAAGCAGAATACCATTTGTCATCCTTCCTAACTTTTGATTCAGATTAGCAACTCGTGTTTTGAGTAGGCTGGTGCTTTTCAAGTTGAAATGGCTGGAATCTGGAATTTTTAATAGCATCCCATTTATTGCCTTAGCTATCAGTTTGCAGGCCAAAACACTTGGTTTAGCGAAGGAGGGTGCTATAGGCCTCCATCTACTAACATCTTTATGTTTTGGGATCCCATACGCATTCCCCAATTTGCCCTTCTTATTCCAGCGGACCAACTCATAAGCTCGGATTCCGTGGTACTCATCTCGACACACATTCAAAATTTCTTCCTCCGAACGTTGTTCAATCTCAAACCCACTGTTACCCCAATACAGCCCCATAAGCGCCTTGTGATAAGTTGTCGAACAACAAACAAAGGAGTCCCCTATATTGTGATCGGTAGGGGAGACCACCAAGTTACTCAGAGAATTTTCCCAAAAATCCAAAACACTACCCTCAGTCGAGCTTGCCAAGGACTGCTTCGCAAAACAAGATTGGAAGCCATATACCCACCTACCCAATCATCCTTACTTGGAATCGATACCAGACCGTCGTGCAGAGCTCTTTTCAACTTCCCAACAGAGACTGAGATCCTCGGATGTAGGATGTTGTTGGCATTCCTCAAAGAGGCTGATATCGCATTCATTTCAGAAAATCGAAAAGCTACATGACCATCGGAATCTCGTGGAAAATCCTCACGCAAGTGTTGGCAAGAGCAGAAATCCAAGTTATCTGTTCGTCAGTGATTATGCAGTCTGTCAGCAACCGACTTGTTACTAGTCCACACAATCTTCATTCTAGAGATGATAAAATCAGTTAAGAGCCTGTCCAGACAACGTCGCCGAACAATAGATTTGGCCAAATCATAAACACAGCATTTCCTAATGCGGTCATCATACATAATCCGTATTATAATAACAATAGGAGCAAGATAACGGAAACCGCAGACTTTCGTCAGAGCCCGCCCTACTACCCTTTTTAAGATGGACCTCGAGCGTTCTCTGTGGAATGAATCAATGAAATTATATAATCTTATCAAATGTTGAAGCCCTGTCTTAAGTAGTCCCACCCTGGTGCTGGGTACCTCCAATAGTGTGGCTAGTATGTCACGCCTGAGGAGGGAGAGACTACGTCGACGTCGAATTCTTACCACATAGAAGGTCCCTCCAGCACATAATTCTTGTTTAAGGTTTTTTTTAAACAAATTTCTTTCCCTCAAATTCCACAATGGACCAACCAAATTTTCGACGCAGATTGCCCTAGGAATCAAAAAACCATTCCCCTCCATGACTAATGACTATGACATGAGATACATCAGCATCCACAAGTTCATTAAACAATCTGACTAAAGAGTAAGAAACCTTGGAGGAGGGTCGTGGCTCAGGCACAAGAAGAGAGACGGACGAAGTATCCCATTTAATCACTTTTCCATGCTGCAAATCCTTGTGTACCAGGTTCGTCTGACTCCGGAGATAAGACATACGTTCCCGACGCCCTTTCCTCCGACACTGTCGTTTTTTTTCTTCTGAACACAGTTAAGAACAGGTGACCATTTCAAAATCAAGTTTTGTTATACTTCCCTTATCTCTTTTTCTGGTGGAAAAGCAATCGGAATTGCTACATAGTTGGCCCAGTGCCTGTGCTGGAGCCAGCGGCGTAACCTATGATTCCTTCCATCACCCGACCTCAGAGCCCTGCATACATGCTCTTCCCATCTAACATGCAACATCCTCGTAGTAGATCCGATATAAGTAGCTCGGTACCAAGGAGAAATCAGAACATAAACACAAGGTCCGTCAAATTCACACAACTGTTCCCCTTCTTGCAGTAGCGTTCGCCAGTCATTTCTAAGCTTTCCTGCCCAGGCTATCTGCTGAGACAAGGCCAGAAAAAGAATAAGAAACCTCATCCAGTGGTCTAGAACTATGTATGCCCCCCGGCGGCGGACAGGCGCGGCCAAGTCCAGGCCGCGAAACCAGCGGACGCGTGGCGGCCGCTGGGGAGGGAGGTTGAGGAATCGGGAAGCGCCACGTGGCAGCGCAACCCTAGCCCCACCCCATCAGGCAAAAAACAACGAAAAAAATCAAATTTTTTGTTGGGGGGGTAAGGGCGAAATGGAAGAAAATAGAAGGAAAAAAAACGCGTTTTTTTTTTTTTTTTTTTTTTTTTTTTTCCGTTCATTGATTGATTGGGGCGGGATCGGCCCGCCCCCCTTTGATTGATTGATTGATTGATTGATTGATTGATTGATTCAATTTTGCTTTTTTTTATTTTGATTGGTTGATTGATTGATTGATTGATTGATTCGCGGGGAAGGGGGTTGCCCCACCCCCGCGACCACGGGCACACACACACACACACACACACACACACACACACACA